GACATGACAGACCGCGACGTGACCCTTATTGATCTTACCTATTTGCTAATTACTGCTGAATCAGAAATGATTTGGCGCACTGGTCAAGCAAATTCGATTGGAAGATCTACCTCCCAAACTTCCATGGACATTGACAATAGAAACATTGGAAGTCCAGAAAAGTCTTCTCTTCCCAATGGAAAGGGATCGGCCATGGTCAAGCCATTTGACCTAATGGTAAAGAGAAAGACTAAGTCTGAGATTGTCCCGTGTGCCATTCCAAAAGAATCTGTTTGCTTCTACTGCCAATAGAAGGGGCATTGGTTGCGAAGCTGCCGAATCTACCTGAAGGATCATAAGGATGGTAAAGTCAGAGTGTATGACTCTACTTCAGGTAAGTCCATTATCTAACTCTATTAAGTTCCTATTTGGAGATTCTTAATACATGATGTAATGTAATTACATTTTGATGTTTTGTATGATCGAAGAAAAGAAAGGAAGCTTAAAGGAAGAGTAAGCTGAATCTGATCGCGAAAAGATGGATTTTGATCGCATGGTTCAATGATCGGATTTCTGAGCTGCTGATAGGAGTTGTGATAGATTGCTTAGGAAATGTTTAGAAACATAGTTTTCATTTGTAATTGCATTGTACGGAATGGTTTTCCACATTTTATAAATAAAGAAAAATTTTAATGTTGTCTTATTTTATATCTCCTTGCAATGACATTTGTGAAAATTGATGTTTGTGTGTTTTTCAGCAATATGAATTTGATTCTTTCGTTTGTGGTAGTGTCAAGATTTACCAAATAAGGAAAGATTCTCATCATCCAAGTTTCAGTTGGATAGAAACTTGGAATCATGCAACGTGTATTGTGTGATGAATGAGAACCTTCGTCTTTGGGAAATTAAGACTAATTCCTTGTGCACATGTATATGTGAATCAAGTGAAGGACTAGGGGATCGGGTACACTTGGTTGTGCGCTGGTCAGGTCCACCACAAAGAACAATAAGACTATTCGTCATGATTTACTAAAAGTTTAGTAAATATGGTTATACTTGCAAGATTAAGTGTAATTCTGGATCGTTGAAAAAGTTTCAATGTATAGCAGAGCGAATAAGAATAATCATATTAGGCAGAAAGATAAAAGTTTCTCCAATCTGAAAGGAAGGGAGAGTACTTGAGTATCGTGTTTTATGATCATCTTAGTGATTATGGAACCATATCACAATTGATCCTCTAAGTGCACTTGTATGGCTAAGAAGAGGAATCGAGAATTCTTGAAATGGTTAAATCAAAATGTGAATCATACTTCATTCCAAAATCGAGTCTTAGAGTCGTACTCCAAGATTGTAACTTGAGTGACATATCTTAAATAGGTTTATAACACTTATCAAATGTAGAGTAAAATGTTACTTACTCTTGTACATTTGAAATTGGTAAGCTGTGATGTCTTGGATAAGACAAAGACCAACTAAGACCAATTATGTGAAGTGTTTGTTTTGATAAGAATCCGCACTAACTCTTAAATATATGTTTGTCAAGGACAAGAGAATCTTATATGTCAAGAGGTTAGTGGGAGTCTTAAAGACCTTGAAAAGCTTCAAGAACTAATCAAGAATGAACCTATTGTTAATCACTAGCGCACGACTTGAGGCTTGTAACCTATCGTGTTGACATGTTCTTGTTTCCGTGCCCATTCCAGTTGAAGTTGACAATGCATGTGAGTTCTATGAGTTCTCAATTGTTTGCATAACAACTTGGAAGCAATGGTAGGCCCTTGTGCTGCCAGATGGCAAGAAATTAAGATTGAACAAGTTCAGTCCATATGGGTTTGGATTTGTCACTAACCTTGTCATGTGATTATGGTTATGACAAATTCACATGGATAGGAACACATACACCATAAAATCTAAGTGTCATATGGTTTCTCTCCAATTCATGAAATTGATTATGAGGAAACGATTTCACTAGGTAGATTTTAAGGAGATAGCAATTGTGATATTTGCATTCTCAAATTCGATTATGATTACGGCATCCCTCTTCATAGTTAGAATTGTGAGAAATAACAAAAGGTCTAAACATTTGAGACTTATTGCTGTAAGTTCTAAAATTGTTTAGACACACATGTGAGCTATCTAAGAAAAGGTGTATGAGTTTGAGAAGCCTAGATAAAGTCTTATAGCAGCATTTTGTATACGAAATCTGAACTTTGGTAAGAAAGTCAACAAGTATTGATTTCTAGAAGTCCAGCTGATTTCTGGGTACATGTCACAACTAGTGGGAGCATAAGTGTTATGTTATTAAAGAAATAATTGTTATGCTAGTGAGAGCATAATCATTATGGTAACTGTTGCAAGTTAGCAATGTTAATTATAGAAAACAAAAGTTTCAATTTGCAAAGTTGTAGAGGTTAAAAAGTTGTTTTGCTATAATTAAGGGAGAGGAATTCATACTTCATTTCGAATCTAAAAGCTTAGATAGAGATTTTAATCGAATTAGTCATGGACATATGTGAATGTTATGTTGAAATGATTCAACATAAGGAAATTCTATATGTGGAAATATTATAACGAAAGACTAGTAAAGTATCATGTCTTTATGTGAGACATTATGAATCGTATTCCATATGCTTCATATATAGGATCGATTACATAAGCTATAATATTAATCTGTTCTAATTTTCCATATGCCTAGGGCATTAAGAGGGAAAAGGGACTAGAACGAGATATGACTAAAATGGTTAAGCAATTGTCGAGGACAATCTGAGGTTTACCAAAGATTGGTTGCTCATGGACAGTTGGAAGTAAAGTGTAAATTTTGGAAGGACCATATTGACATACTCTGAGAAGAGGTAACTCTTGTTCAGAAGTGATAGTCAAAATGAGAATACGGAAATGTTACCATAAGTGGAAGTTAATAATAAAATCTATGTAAGATTAGAAAACATAATGGAAGAAGGTTGGTCAAAGGAATGTACTTTGAATATGAGACTTCGTTTCCATGGAATTGCTCTCCATTGTAATACTTTGTAATGTCTGTTGCCCAAGTCTCTATGACTTTTGTGCATAGTCATTACAAAATGATTATTGCATATAAGTTTAGAATCTAACAGATTTTAGCAAATGGAAAGAATTTGGTATTCTTACATTTACGATAAGGATTTGGAATTGTGAAATGAGCATCATTGAAATGTTGTCCATTGATCTATTTCACAAAGAGATGACCATAGGCAAACGTAATGTGCATGCTTGGAGCATGGCATAACTATTGTTTTAATTCAAGTATTAAGTTGATTAATCGAAACATTATACAATGAATAATGTGTAATCAATATGGTGATTAAATAAAAGGTGTTTTATTTATATTCATGAGTGCTGAGACCATATTGGATTCGATTATTTTTGTGTTTCACTTTGCATGTTTTGACTTCCAGAATAATAAGATTATTCAAACTATCCAGAGTCGATCATACTTTGGAAGTAGGTATTGAGGCAAGACTGTCATGAATCTGACTGTAGATTGTCTAGGTGTTTTAGACATAGCACGAGTTTGCTACAGTGTTCATGAGTACTTCTGGAATAAGATTCGAGTATTGGATTAAACCCACGCTCATCTGAATCACTTCATGGATTTTATCACTAGTGATTGTGAGACGATAATATATTATATTCTTATCACGAGTGATTGCACATTGATGATGCGTAAACACACCAGTAACTTGGTGTTATAAAACACATTGTTATGTGTGATTTGATGAGTAAATTTAGCAAGCATATGAGTCGAAGTTTATCCATTCCTTTTACAATTAGAGGGATAAAAGCGATATCTGTGGGCCCCTCGATGATTTAGTGATGACACACTAAGCTCTTGGCAAAGCTTGGACTGATTTGATTTGTTCAATTAGTCAGTTGTCATAAATCAGAAATCGGGAAACAACAGATGGACAGAGAGAATGATTATAATCCATGTCTCAGTCCATATGATATCTTGTAGAATGGAGGAATAGATGATCCCTTATCTAATGGACGCGTCGTTGACTGGGTCAGAGTTCGACAACGGCTTTTAAGAGCTACGATATCTAGTCCGTGTTTAACTCGTACTTGCAGTTATAGTTATTAGACTTATCCAAGTGGGAGACTGTCACTACTAGAAAACAGCCCTTTAATGACGTGCGAATAATGACACACAGTGATTTACGATATGCATTTATGCGTGCCCTAAAAATAATGTCAGCTTTTCCTAAAATTCAAGAATAGAGGATACACATTTTTGCGCGCCCTAAAATTTGCGTCAAAAAAAACACGGAGGGCACCTTTTATAAATAGTGTGTCGTCTAGGACTGTCGTTTTATAATATTTTAATGAAAGGCGCGTCTCCATCCATATAACATCTCGGTATACCTAAGGAGGGAAATGAAATCCCAAAAATCAAAAACCCCGCTCATTCTCTTCTCCCTTGTTTCCACCAGTTATGCCATCGATTTTTTGATTCATTCAGACTCTAGAACAAATACATACATCACTCTCTTATCATTCTCCTCTAATTTCTTACTCTTGTAATTAAGGACTTAGGGTTTTTTTCATATTACTGTTCCAATTTTTTTGTTCAGGTTTGGATTTTAGTCAAATGGTGTCCCTGAAGGAAAGCTAATGCGTCTAGCCGTCGGCCTGTGGCGGCGACAATCCGTCTCGCCATCCCAGTTGGCGGAGGAATACCTGGACCAACGGTAGTAGTTCAATACAAAGTCAACGCTTGCACCCAGAATTACAAATCGGAAGCCCTCGATTGTAGCGTCGATCGAAACTACGACAACCCTAAAACACATCTATGAAATCGCAAAGGTGAAGCAATCAGATCTGTAGTCTAATTTCTTCCACATCGATCCTCACACTAACTGGTTCGGCAACTGCAACTCCTCTCGATTGTAGTGTCGATCGATTGTTGGCTATTTAATTCTATTCATCTTAATTTCCCCTTTCATATATGTTTTTCATTGGATTTCTCTCAACTCACAGACTCAATGGGGTCAAGATCGTACGACAAAGTCGCTGATATCTACGATCAACTTATGCTTCAGGTAACATACATATGAATCTGTGTAATGATCGTTGTGCGCTAATCGTGGCTTACTACTACGACTATGTTGGGTTAAGATTTGAAACCCTAATTTTATATCTGCTGGCTTGATTTCAATCTTACTGTTACTTTCTTTTTCTTTTTTTCATGTAGATTGCTTCACAAGGCGTTGTATTTCAAGATGAATGGTCTTATGTTGTTCATCTTCTAGGGTATATTTACCTTAATGATCTGTAAGTTAAGACAATTTGTCTCTGTTTTTTTTCTTTTTCATGTGTTCTATCTACACATATCTGAATTTTGAACCTGATCTTAAGATTGATTCTGATATAAAAGGTGAAATATCCACAAAATGTTGGAAGGGGTTCGTTCGAATTGCAAAGAGATGTTTGCTTAGCCATCCAAAGGAGCGCCCTACCATGGTTGAGGTTGTTTTCTGTCTTGAATCTACACTGAACATACAAGACAAAATCAACAGTTCCTTGCAGGTTGGTGGCAAAACAATATTTGGAAGAATGTTTGATAGGTTTCCCTTTGCCTCCAGTGTAGAGAACTCTGGTATTTTGAGCTCCTGTTGAATTGTGTGTATAGATTCTTAGAATATAGAAATGCAATTTCATAATTTTAAAACACAAAAGAGTATTTATGCAGAAAGAAGTAATGAGTTAAAATATCCAGGGTATCATTCTATCATTTACTTCAGTTATATTGGTGATTAGCATAATCCAAATTTCTTTCATTCATTTTATTATTAACCAATTCTAGTTTCATTGTTTTGCTCTGAAGCCTGATTCTTGATAAGTTTTTTCTGCAGCCTAGGTGATGGGGCATGCCTAAATTGTACCCTTTCACAGGGCCACTCCATAGTAGTCTTTATATACTTGCTTATCTTCTTTACTATATAATCTTGATTTGTTCATCTTTTTCAGCCCATGATGATTCAAAGTTTTGGAAAGGTATCCAGAGGTCGGGTTGAAAACAACACTTTCATCTCTACAAATCCTGATGTTGGTATTAGGAAGCACAAAGAAGAAGGTTTTCAGCGACATACTACAAGTCTGGTAAGTATCCAAAAGTACACAACTTATATTTATAATGAAGACAAAATTGAGAGTTTTATGGGAAAACATTTGACTAACATACTTCTTCTCATCCTTTCACTTGTTGACATTCTCACAAATCTGTTAAATAGATCATATTTGAGGAGAAATGCTAGATGATATTTATGAAATGGCCTCAAGTAATGTTCAGAACCATTTAAAGAAGAATACTTTTGTGAAGAAGGATTTGGGGCCACGAATCTACATAGATGATATCTTTATAGGAATCTCTGAACCTAGTGATGATTCTGATGTTGAATGGAATATGACCAGGGACAAAAGATGAATATGTTGTTGAATGGGATCAGGTGGTTTGCAAAAGAATTGGGGAAGTTGGATTTCAATATGGAATTCAATACTAATGAAGGAGAAGATGATACTACTGGAGGTATTGTTATTTCTTCATCTTTTGGCTTTTATTATTTGTTATTTATTTATTACAACATTGTACTTTGAAAGTCATTTAAATCCAAATACAAAGCAATACTTGGGTAATTAAATAAGAAAAAAAAAGTTAATCATTCAGGTTAGAATAGTATCAACACACAGAACAGGTGAATTGATGTTTTGTTATACTTCATCTACTGGAGAACGAGGCATCCAAGTTATTATTATTGGTGCAGGGGGTGCAGCCCATTTGCCAGGTTTTATTCTCTACTTTACTTTTATTTCTTCCAAATACAACAATTTCATTTTTTTTATTTTTCATTTTTTTCCAAAATTTGTGATTAGGTATGGTAGTTGCAGAGGCATCCAAGTTATTATTGCTGGTGCAGGGGGTGCAGCCCATTTGCCAGGTTTTATTCTCTACTTTACTTTTATTTCTTCCAAATACAAAAATTTCAATTTTTTTCAAAATTTGTGATTAGGTATGGTAGCTGCATTGACACCCTTACCTGTCATTGGAGTTCCTGTGCGTGCTTCAGCATTAGATGGCCTTGACTCCCTTCTCTCTATTGTTCAGGTATATTATATTTTATATACACTAATCTACTTTCATCTATTTCTTTATTATATACTTTCACTTCACTTTTTTCCTATTATAGTATTCTACTTTGAAAATTCTACAAAACCTTAATAGAAAGAAATAAAAGTAAGATGTTAAATTAATTACTGAAATAAATGCTATTTCTTGGAGATGTCAATGAAGAAAAGGTTTAGGCTGCTTAGTGATGAAGTGATGGAGCCTTTAACAAAATGTTATCCTCAGACATCCAATTAACCTAGATCCCATAAGGACAATGATCATAAGACAGAACATACATTTTTTTTTTCTCTTTGATTGTTTAAAGTTGTGGCATGTTCATCATGCAGGGTTCTGCAGGAGAAACCAAACTTGAGAAAGAGAAAGTGGGAGATGTATGTTAGTTGTGGTCAATGGTCGTTTATTTATATAATAAGTCTGATTTATAATTATCTTGTTTAATCATACCTATAATCTGTTCTTTCAAGGTAAAGGGGATGATGGCATTGAAAGAAATAACAATGATACAGATGTTAAACCCACTGAAAAGGTTGAGGATGCTTCCTAGAAAGAAAGTGAATCCAATGTGATTAAGGAGGACATGTTTGAAGCTGAAGCACTTCATGTGATTATAGTAAGCCAAAATTTCCTTGTTGAGTTTCTCAGTTTATGTTTCTTGTTTTCCCATTATAATATCTTAGCACCTAAAATTATGTTCAGGTTTGGCTGGTGATTTTTTATGGAAATTCATTCGTTCTCATGTAGATACACATATTCTTATCTTAATACAAACTACCATATAATATACCCCTTTGACTTTTCTTTTTGGGTTTTGCAGGACTTACTGTAGGTTTGAAAAACTGAATTCGTGTAACTTTTGCTGCAGACCCATCTTCTCTTGAAGAAGCTTTTGATAGAGTGAAGCCTTTTTGCCAAAAGCATTCTCATCAGCAAAAGGTTCATATTCTCTTAGAAAGGAAATTGTCAAAGGATAATTTAGTCATGACTTTCTTTTAATGTTGTACATGTTTTGTTTTCTATAATAAATATTATGCAATATTAGCAATGTGTTACATTTACTTACTATTTGAATGATTATTTGTATTTGACATATTAATGCAATGAGTTATCTTTATTGTTTATGGTATTTTATTTTGTATTATGAGACTTTTAATTATGTGTTATTTAAATTGAAAATTAGTAAATCTATCAAAAATATATAATTTTAAAAATATTTAAAATTATGACACGCAAAAATGCGTGTCGTATTCCTTTACGACAGTGGCTTTCTTGATACACATTGCGTGTCATAAACACGCGTGTCGTCTTCCTTTATGACAGGGCATTCCTTGATACGCATTGCGTGTCATAACTGTGCGTCGTAAATGCATGTCATAAATGCGCGTCGTAAATGCGCGTCGTAAATAGACGACACGCAAAAGCGCGTCGTCTCTCGTTATGACAGGGCCTTTCTTGACATGCATTTGCGCGTCGTCGAAGCGTTTTACGACACGCATTGCGCGTCGTAAAAGGCTATTTTTCTAGTAGTGTGTTGAATTAGGTGTCTAAGCCCGTAACTATAATTGGTATGTACTTGACCCGAGAGTAGCATGGTCCATTTCGGGTTGCCTTCACAAAGACAATTTGATAGGATGGATATTTGAAAGAGGTTCTTTATGATTTACTAATATATTATAAGTATAATATATCAATTGAGAAATCATATTATTTAATTATTATTGATCAAGAATTAATTTGGAATTAATTTTGTGATCAAAAGAGACTAATTAAATTAACGGGGACTGATTATGTAAATCAGTGATATATATATTGTTTGGGCTATTGATCCATGATGGGCTAAGTTTATGTAAGTATCCATGAAGAGTTAGCCCACATGAGATATGGATCATAACCTAAGTGTATGGATTAGGGTTTACCCATGACTCTTGGATTCCTACACTATATATATGACACCCCTTAGCCTAAAATTGGTGACACTAGTGATCGTGGAGATGCTATAGCCGAATTTTGGTGCCTAGAAACTCTCTCTTAAAGTCCTCCTTTGTTCATGGTGTTTGTGACTTGTTTGAGGCATCACATTTGAGGTGCTAAGTTCTTAGAGGCCAAATACATCAAGCTACAACAACGAGGTAATCATCTAATCTATTTTTTATGATTCAAGTATCGAATTGTATGCTAGTTGTAGGCTTCATGCTTTGGATATTTTATTGCATGTATAACTAGAGAAAACTTAGATCCAAAGCATTAGAGTTGTATGTGCACCATAGAAGTGTTGTAGTATACAAAAACCCAACACAGTTTTCTTCCAATCATCATAACTTTATATCTTCTTCGTTTCTAAACCGTTTTCTATGATCTTTACATCCACGCGAAGAGGAGAACATACTCTTAACTCTATTAAGTAATTTCTTAATGATTTAATATGGGTCTTATCTATAAAGTCACAAACTTATTCCAATAAGCATAAAATTTCCCATTTTACCCTATTGGCAAAATTACATGTTATCATTCATTTCTTCTCTTGAACTTACTCATCTAATCTCATATTAGTGACTTAAACCTATCTTGGCCATTTTCATGAAGTTGCAACTTCATAAACTTACTAAATTCCTCCAAATGACCAATTTTTGGTAAGGATATGAATAAAATTCATATCTCTCTAAATTTCAGGATCTTACAATGTACCTTTGTTAAAGGTACATCCTATGTCTATGGAGATATTAAATCATGTCACTAGTTTCTCATACCTGACCCGACATCTTCCATTACTAATGTCAAGTGCCTTGCCTGGATAGTAGGAATGCCTAAACCCTTCTTCCATGATCACAACCTCGAGTCTCTTCCCAACTTGAACAAATTCTGACATTTTTAAGAATTCTTCAAAAAAACAAATTTAATTGAGTTAGTTAATTTATCTGGTACAAACTTAATTCTCTCAACATCTAAAGTGTAAAATCAAATTTTGTACAATATCACCTAAAAGATATTCATGCACTTGGTTTTTTCAATGATGTAACTCTCGAATGTTTTCTCCTTATAATAAGGAATTTAAAGGACTAGAATTTAGCCAAACTATTCGAATGTGGCTAGTATTTGTAACACAAACAATTCATGCGACCAAATATGTTAACTTTTGTAGGTACATTTAAGTTCGTTCAGGTATATATATATAGAGATATATTATATATCGAGATATATATATATATATATATATATATATTGCTATCCAGTTAAGTTCTCCGGATAATAGGAATTGAAAGGACTAGAAGTTAGCCAAACTATTCGAATGGGGGCTAGTAGTTGTACACAAACAATTCATGCGGACCAAATATGTTAACTTTGGTAGTACATTAAGTTCTTCATGAACTAATATATAGAATATAGATATATAATATATATAGATAATATAAGATATCTATATATAGATTATATCTATATATAATCTATATAGGTTTAAGTGCTATGGAAAACAAAAAAACCCTAAAATCGAAAAAATGCATAAAAAAAAAAATACGGAGAGATCAAAAACTTTTTTTGAATTGGTTTTTAAAAAAATCGCAGCTTTTTCGGTAAAAGTCGCTGAAAAAAAAAAATCAATTAGTGGTAGGGGGATGTTTTTATTTTTTTTTATAAATTTTTTTATTCAAAGTGTTTTTTCACAGTGAATGGGTATAGAAAAGCTGGCGATTTGTTATAAAAATTCAAAAAGAAAGGTTGGTGATTGGTCTAGAATTTTTAAGCATTTTTATGATTTTTAGGGTTGTTTGTTTTCCAAATAACCCTTCCCTATAGAGTATATAGATATAGAGATAGATAGATATAGAGATATATAGAATATATATAGATATATATAGATATATATATAGATATATAGATAATATAGAAGTACCGATATCTTCAAAATCCATTGCACATTATTTCTCATATATAAATCAAACACAAACACGTGGCAAATGGTCATATTTGGCAACATTAATCGTCTGAAGCTAAACGATACTATGGACACACAAACAATTCAAAAAAAACACCGTAGTATACTTACACTCACATTGTATTTTCTCATGCAAATACTAATTATTAACTACACATAATATAATATAAAATGACCATAAATTACTTACAACCACTTCTTTTTTAACGTTTATTATATGTCGCTAAATCGTACATATGGTAATCCAAACAATTCATGTGACCATAGGTATTCCCTTTTAGCTACATTAGAATCCATTACACATTATTACCCATAAAACAAACACAAAAATGTGGCAGTTGGTCATATTTCACCACATTATTTGACCAAGACTAAACGATACATATGGACATAAACAATTAAAAAACGCATCCATAATATACTTATAGGCACTTGTTTTGTTATGTTTAGTAAGTGTCTAAACGATGCATATGGATACACGAAAAATTAATAAAAACGCCACCATAAAATACTTAGAGTCACATCTTTTGTTATTTTACCATGAAAATTTTGAATTATTAACCACACGTAATATAATATAACAAGACCATAAATTACTTACAACCACTTGATTTGTTACGTTTATTATATGTCGCTAAACGATATATGGTCATTCAAACAATTTATGTGATCATAAGTATTATCATTTAGCTGATTAGATTTCTAGACGTGTCGCTAAATGATACATATGGTGATACAAACAATTCACGGGACAATAGGTATTACCTTTTAGCTACATTAGATTTCTATATATATATATATATATAATATAATAATATATATATATATATATATAATATATATATATATATATATATATATATATATATATATATATACTAATAGTGTCATCTTAAACCATTACAATTTTTACATGTGGCGAAAACAATCCATGATTTTATTAATGATAATTTGTCACACTTTATAACGAAATCGTCACATTTTCTTTAAGTTGTGTGACTATGTTGTCTTTAAAAAGTGTGACCGTATATCAAAATTCTTGTAGTGTTTTTAGAATTTATATATGTGTTTTTGATAAACTTAAACACAATTTTGTGTTTCGTCTGAGATCACGCGCAACATTTTAGATTAGACTCATGTGATCTTTGGTTCGGTCAAGGAGGGTATTTTGGAGCTTCTGGATGAGAAGCTGAGTGCTTTCCGCACTAAGGTGGCGACCATGATGGGGTCGCGCACACTGAATTTCCGGGAGTTCAGGGTTTGTGGAGCTCCCGACTATCATGGGGCTCAGGACCCCATTGCTAGTAGCAGATGGTTGGCTGATGTCGCCAACGCATTCCGTACGAGGAGATGTCCTGAGGGGGACAACGTCCGACTTGCATCCTGTCTTCTGAAGGACAGGACACGAGATTGGTGGGAAAAGGTCGGACGAGCCATTGGGGATGATACAGTTCTAGATGCTATGACCTGGATTGATTTTTCACCAGGTTCAGGGCCGAGTTTGCACCCGTGATTGAGGTGCAACAGCTAGCGAGGGAGTTCTAGTATCTTGAGCAGACGACAGATATTGTGGCAGAGATCACCGCTAAGTTTAGGGAGAGGGCCCTTCCGCTTAGTATTGCGGGCAGGAGTGCGGACGAGAGATGAAGAAGGCCCAATATCATGAGATGTTGCGGAGCGATATCCGCCAGTTTGTGAGCAGCTCCAGCTGCAAGACGCTGGAGGACATGATTGCTAGGGCTCGGGAG